CAACAATCCCCCACGCAGGAGCCTTGATGGTCAAATACGTAGTAATGGTACAAGGCAACAACAACAATATTCCTCATCTATTCCGATGTCCTTAACTGCTAGAAACGAAGGACTTGGTGTCAATGGTTTTCTGGTGAGTGCTAAATCAAGGGAATGAAGATTTCGCATAAAGCCCCGCACGCCAAAAAAAAATAGGATAAATGCCTCGCAGAATATAGTTGACAAAGTTAAAGAATTAAATATAATATAAAGGTCATCTACTACTATATCAATTGATTAAGAATCAATTTTATTAATGGTGTCTCTTATACTATATTTGATCAACTATATTGTCCAACTATATTGTCGAATGAGGATTCATCCCATGAAAATTACAAAGTATAATTCTGGAGTACGCGAAAGGGACGAGCATTTATCAGATGATGAGTCATAAGATTCATATTCTTAGGAATCATTGTCAGATGCCACTTTCGTACAAAAGCAGGTTTTGGGGATTGGCTATTATTAGTAATCTACGGGATGGCAGATGTAAGATGTAGTTGGCAGCAAAATTAGTGAATTGCAATATTAAGGTATTTCAACTCGGTCGAACTGTAGCAACATATTGCGTCAATGTTGAATTTCGTAAATTAATTTTGCAGTCAACTATTAATATACTCGTGTGTGGGTTTTTGTACTTTCAAAAAAAAGCATGTATTTAGACAAATTCATATGTGTAACTTTTTTCTTTTTCTTAAAAACTATACACATATATAGTTAAAGCCGCAAAGGAAGGTCATGCCGTAAGTCGATCTAGTCAACTGAATTTTTTTCTTTTTTTTTGATAAAAAAAAAAAAAAGGAAAAAAAAAAAGGAAAAAAAAAGAAAAGGGAAAAAAAGAAAAAATTACGGATCCGAGTCAGTAAATATACCAGAGAACTTGGGCATTGAAAAAAGTAAACCGCCTTACGTCTCAACACTGTTTCTATTCTTTCTTCCTTCTCGGTGTCTGTCTTTTTTTTTTTTTTTTTTTTTTTTTTTTTTGAGGTTCAGTATAGAGAAAGGTGACTGTAATCGAATCCAGGAAAACTTAGAAAATAAGAACTTTACTATTTATTACTATTACAAATTATACTAGCTATATGTAACTAAAAAAGATACACAAAAAAGCCAATCGCATATTATTTTCAGAGTTAATAAGTCATAGTTCGTAGTGTTAAATCGATTACTGGTTTTCTATTTTTTAATAAATAAGAGACATATAATTCATTACAGTGTAATGCAATTACCCCTAGCCATGGAGAAAACAAGACGTGAGTTATGATGCTCCGGCACGTCCAATCAAAATTCAAGTAACGTTAATATTGCGGGGGTTTTCAAAAACGCAAATAACTTAATTTAGCATGTGAAATCATCTGCGTCCCAACAAAATTTTGACATGGTCTGTGCCCTTCTCTGACCTCAATTCTAACCTTGATGATATGTCTTACGTCTTATTTGATTTCTAGGTATCGGATCGGAAGTTCGGAATAACATGACCCGGCATTTCATAATTATCTCACGAACTTGAAAGCTAATTTTAACTCATGAATTAATAAATGGTTGCTATGTTTAGAATAAATCAACACAAAGAGATTAAATAAGAATGAGTGGCTTATCTTAAAAGTAAATCAATGCAAATAACGATAAGAAAAAAAAAAATTGAAAATAGTTTAATTGCAGACACATCACATAAATTAGGCCGATCGATATCAAAGATATACAGTATATAATAATTTATTTCATTATTAAATGAATGGTTATCAACGAGTTCCCACGTCCTTTTTTTTCTAACAATCTTATTCAATTCAGCGTTGAACCTATAAAATTAAGGATCATGTTGCAATAGTTTCGGATTTATTACGTGGATTTTGACTTCATCTCCATGGTTTGTATAAGTTAAATTTTGAAAAATAGATCTTAGTCAAGAACCGGTATATCATGTACATATATATATTATACGTAGACATATTATAATTTAAAATATGCATTCATAGTTGTCATAAATAGGGTTACGATTATTCATAACAAATTTGCTAAAGACAGATGAATTTTTATTTTTGAGCTATTAATTAAAGTTGTTCAGAATTAAATTCTGTTCATTCTATCTTATAAGTGGAAAGGACGATTCCTTCTCTGGGACTCGGAATTTCAAAATTTGTTATCTTCATAACCGGTTATTAGCTGGCGGTTACTAACCGGTTATGACGTTAACAAATTTTGAAATTCCGAGTCCCAAAGAAGGTATCGTCCTTTCCACTTATAAGATAGAATTTAATTCTGAACAACTTTAATTAACAGCTCAAAAATTGACCGTAACCGTTCGTAACCGACTCATCCCTAGTCATAAAACATGAGTCCACATAAACGAAAAAAATGTTTGATAAATAATGAATTCGTATGGAAGGCATGTGAAAGTTTTCAATAAATATTCAAAATTTTTCATAAAGTAAAAACGAAGATGAATTGGGAACTGAAAAACCTTCCTTCTATTAACAAGTATTTAAATTTTATAGAAGTGATCAATGTAATTAATGAAATTGAAAAAGCAATTACATAAAAAAATAACATATAACTACCAAGCGTAACCACAAAAAGGCCATGTGATTTACGTAGCTTTAAATGATTTTATTAATGAGTATTTATATAGTAACGGTAACAAGGAAATTTTTAATGGTTTATACATGATCGCCAATCTTAAAATTGATTGGCTGATCGTATAGGGTCGCCACGGCGATGGGCCTCTATTTTATTTTTCCCTAAAAAAAAAAAAATGTTTAAACGTAAGCCAACTTCTCCAGTACCACCACCTCCTCTTTCATTTAATGACATTTTATCGGATTTAACCCGCTTACAAACTTACAATAAGCAAGCTATTGGCAAAAAAATAGATGTCTTAGAAATAGTCAATACTGACATTGATAACGAAAATAATAAAACCGATGGATCCGGAGAAAGATGTAAACGTTTTTTTTTAAATTTATTTTCTCAATAAAAAAAAAAATTAATAATTTAGATCAACACCTAAAAATATTTTAATATTTTTACAGCTCAACCTCTAAAGTTCACAACGTCCTCGTCACTTATCGAGCATTTAACTAAATTGCCATCTGCTAACACTCCAATACCCTCAGAAACACTCGATGCTACATATGATCTTTGTACAAATCTTATACGTGTCAATGATCAATTACTTGTATCTCGCAGAGATCTCGATGGATTAGGTGTAGATATCGAAAGGCTGAGAAAAGAATTAAGCGGAATGATAGATATATTAAATGATGATAATTTAAATGATGATAATAAGAGTATATAGTAAACCAGTATAGTATAACTTATCAGGTAAGTATAGTATAGTGTGGTATACATTATGTATAGTAGATATACAAAATGTATAGTTTTTTGAGTTTAAGTTATACAGTATGTAGTATTTTTTTTAGAATTTATTTACATAATGTATAATTTTAATATTAAGTTTTATACGTTAAGTAATTTTAGTATATAATGCCGTTTGGCCATTGTAGCAAATTTCTTAGGCTTATATTTAAAAAAAAAAACTTGTCTGAAACAAACAGTACATTTTTTCAGAACCAAATTTTACTGACACTATTCTAATCACGGGAACTTTTGGCTAATAAACTTTTTAATTATTATTTTATAAGTGCCGTCAAAGAAAAACACTGTTGAGTAGTTTCTGGACAACCCTATACTTTGTAAGAGGAATGTTCATTAATAATGGCTTGAAGGAAGTTCGGGACGATATCTAAATGTTTAGAAAATTTGCTTTTTTAGTTTACATACTTGCACAACTCGTAGATGAAAATTTAAATAAAAGGTTAAATTACATCTATTCTTTTTCTAGAGAATTTTATTTTAAGAACCCAAATATACTCAAAATACATTCATCATTTCATCGATCGATTCATACTTCACCTATATATTATTATTATTATATATATTAAAAAAATTGGATTTGAGCCTTAATAAAAAAAAAAGTCAAAAGTTGAGAATCGGACATTGCATATTCGTGTAACATTCGTGCGCATAATGAATGAGTTTTAAAAACCGGATCAGGTGCAAAAACTAATTTTATTTTTGTGCTTCAGCTGCTTTCATATTTTCCAATAACCGGATCGATAAGTTATCAATAAGTTACTATTGACTGATGTCAAAACTTATCATTTCGGGTATTTTTCAGTGTCTAACAATTTCATATGTATAAACATGTGTTATGTGATGTCATTTTTCAATTTTTACTGATTGAAAAATGACTCGGGTCAGTTCTTAATGCTGATAAGTAGGGATGGCAAATGTTTTAAAACGCAATCTTAAAAATCATGTTTGATTTAAAAAAACGTTTTAATACTACTGTAGTAGGTTATGACGTAATTGATCTAATTACCGGTACTAACATTCAAAAAAAAAAAAAATCAAAAAATTCTTCAAAGCAATATTTCATGTTCGTGGAGACACCTTTAAAAGAAATCGTTTAAATTTTACAAAAGTTGCTGAATCTAATAAACATGGTAGAAAAATGTCGCGTCAAAATGCAATTATTGCGAAGACTGTTTATTCAGTTGATTGATTAAAAAACTTCCAAGAAATATGAGAGTTATTGGAAGTTCATGATTCTATTTCAAGTGACATATGCGATTGAGAAGAATAAATTATTTATTCATTGTATTCCTTCTGATCTTCAAATAATTCATTCGCAAAAACTTGTTTACATTAGTGCGATATTACTGTAAACTTGGACTCTCATTACTACAGACGTAAAAATAATGCCAAATAAAAGATTGATTGCAAATTTATATATTTAAAATATAATAAATTTAAGGTGATCAGATATATTATAACTTTATATATATATATATATAATAAATTCGATAAAAAATTCTTTTGCTCACAATTAAAATTAATCAGAAGCAATATTTTCATCTTCAACAAAATTTTATCTCAGACTTCGATGTTTTAAAAAAGATTTTAAACAATAAAAAATGTTTAAAAAACTGTTTAAACCCATCCTACTTGCACACAATAATAAAACTGATTAATCGCATATTAAATGAATACGTATTTGCAATGACATAATGAAAATAGTTCTTTTACTGTCATGAATACTAGTTTTATACGTAATAAAAATTTCATTCGAGGATACATTTTCTAAAAGCATTAATTTTTTATTAAGAATTTTAGTAACTATAACCGGTGGTGATCATCACCGGTGTTTATAATTGGCCAATAGATTTACAGGATCAGGTGTAACGTGCAAATCAATTTGTGTAACAACAATAAAGATTTTTTTTAAAAAATGCCAATATCTCAAGAATTCTCATATAAAACTACCTTCAACGTTCTAACAAAAAAAATTCCTTGCTAAATTTTGCATATATCTAACACCTTGCTAAAATATCAGGCCTCACCCTAACCCTAAAGTAAACGAAATAAAATCTTTTTTTGGTTTATCGTTATTGGCCAATTATAAACACCGGTGATGATCACCACCGGTTATTCTAACTAAAATTCTTTTATTAAATCATGTGATTGCAAAAATATAGAAATTTTTGTCGGGAAAAATGATTGGGACTCTTATGTCAAATGTTTTATTTTTTGACTACCAGAAATCTAAAAAAAATAAAAAAAAAAATAAAAAAAATCCCATTAGTCAATTGTTAACTATCCAAACATATATTGATTATTATTTTTATCTTCGGAAAATTACTTAACATCGATTATAAATGAACAAAGCTAAATTATGTGGAGGTGAAAGTGGTGTAACATAATTTGGAAGTATCTGGTGATACTCAGATGTGTTGCTAAAAATTGGATATAGTTCTTTGCGACCCTTTCTTATAGCTATTCCGTCTACTAAATCAAATACAAACAAGGCAAGTTTCGTGTACCCTAATCCATATATATATATGAATATTATATTATTATAAAATAATTTAATTTGAAAATGCGTACATAAAAATGAATTTTAGCTGGCTCACCAATTGATTGAATAGCGAATAGATCTATGTCATTAAATTGTTCTCTGATTTCACAATTAATGTCTTTGATTTTGTAATTGACTATCTCCCTTTCTAGTCGTTCTTCAGCATCCTTCATCATTCTTGTCATTTTTCGTCACTTTATTTTCATCAGCACCATTTCGACAACTTTCACCAACCATGATTTCAACTTTTTTCTTTGGAATAACAACTCGCAAACGAAAGTCGGGTATACGTCCATTCCTATTATTTTATTTGTGAATCCGTTCGGCACTTGCCTCTGACGTTTCATCACCCCTTATATTATAAGTTATAGACATCTGCTTTCTTTTTTACAAAAATAGCATTACAAAAATAGAATTACCTACCATGTTAAAATATATGAAACATCAAGATCGAAAAAAAGCTCATCAATCAAATGACCTGTTTGCGTAACAGTAATATGGTTTTCGGGTGGATTTTCTTGTCCGTACCATGATCTGGATGTTTTTCATTACGCCAGAAGTGTCGACTAAATTGTACTGATGTTGGTGCAAAGGTCTACAACATAGGGTTAAATAACAAAAACCATATATTTACAGTCTATTCAGCAGCCCAATTGCGCATCTTACATAAGATTTATCTTGTTTTAACACATGACCTTGAAGATCTTCAGGCACTACGAAAGGCACATCGTGACAAAACTTCCAGTTTTTATTTTTATATGTTTTTATGAAAAGTTGAACTAGTTTATCTACAATGGAAAATACAGTATCTTCGATTGTAACCTTTTTAAAATATGTGCGTTCTTAGGACTGAATGTTGGATCATGCGAATTTGTAGTGTCAAAAACTCCAATAACACTAGGTGATGTAAAATGAAGACGTTCCACCTTTGTTTTAATAAACGCATCAACAACTTGTTCAATCTTGTGTTGTCCATCTTTACTTATCCAACTAGCTCGTCTCTATAAATGTTATAATTAAAACACTCGCAAATAATTGATGCATAAATCTATAAATAAATTGCTCTTTCGTATCATTCAAATATTTGTTTTGGTACTTTTTTGAAATTGATTTAAATAGACGGTCACGCTATATCATATAAAAATAATATGAAAAGAGTTAGATAAAATCCATGAATATAATGCAAAGCATGAATAACTACAATGTGGACTATATCATTATCATACATATGCAAGACGTCAAAAAGATGCTATCCTCGCTTCCACTTGGAAGAAGAGAGTATTACAAGCATCAAAATGAGCGTTATCCTCGCTTCCATCTGGAAGAAGAGTTGTGCACAAAACGCCAAAGAATGATGCTATTCTCGCTTCCGTTTGGAAGAAGAGGGTAGTACAAACATCTAAAAAACGCTGGGTATGCATATAGTTTTTTTTAATCATGAACCCAATGTATAAGTAGACTTTTTCAAAGACTACCTTTTTACTAGGGTTCTGCAAATGCCCATGCCGGCACATGGGGCACTATGCCGGGCACCAGTGCCTTGTGCCATGCAAGTGCCTATGAGCAAAAAGTGCCAGGCACTCTTAGGCCGGCATCTTTGTACTGTGCCCACAAAAATGCCTATGCCAGACACAATGGCACCATGCCAGGCACTAATGCAATTGATGGTAACAGTGCCAATTTCTTAAAAATGGCCTATTAAAGCATAGTGACAGATACGGTCATGGGTTCTATGTTTTAATAGTATGTCCTATGCGGCCTAATATAAAATTTATATGTTAAATATAAAATGCTATGCATAAAGTCTATTTCGTTTCACTAATTCTTAAAGCGCATAAAGTCTATTTCGTTTCACTGATTCTTAAACCCTTTCGTAGGTCCTGGGTCTAATATACATCTGTACATTGAGAGGTCGTATTATAAAAAGTAAGAGAAGGTTAAATAAGAAACACGAAAAGTGATCTCAAATACTTTTAATCGATAATTATCAAGTGCTATGTTTAAATAATAACATGAATAAAAAAATTAATCAAGGTATAAAGAAATTAAACAAAATAAAAAATGAATACTTAGCTTAAATAATCCGATTGATAAATGACTGTAGGGTTTAGGGCACGGGTAAAAAATTAGGCATGCCCATAGGGGCATGCCTTGAGCCAAGGCATGCCCTCCATGCCCATGGGCATGCCCCTCCGCAAGCACGTGATAATTGACTGTAAACTAGCCAATCACATCTCGTAAATCATAGAATTTGCGCCTTATATTACTGCCTTATGTTACAGAGC